CGTGGTGTTTGAAATATCGTCGCACTGTCTGTTCGGACCCATGTCGTTCTGCAGACGAGCCAAATTCCTGGCTTAGAGTATGACATGTGGCTGTACGATCCTGCAAGGCAATGACAACATATCTGGCTTCATCAGCATTAGTGGTCTCGTATGATGTACTCTACGGCTCTCCTGAACCCATCGATCCCGCGTTCGTCTGAGTCATGGGGTGCCTACCAGTACGGGTATCAATGTTGCGAAATGGTAAATCGTAGTGAGGATGGATCGCGATCAAGCTGCAGTTGAATTCCTACACGTAGTGATAGGGTTTTTTCTTCTTACACGAAGTATATATAATATGATCAAACAGCCAATATTCAACTGCGATTTCTTAATGAGAAATCTGCTGTACAATACTCATATTTATACACAATGTAAATGGCGTTATTAAATACCTGCTTTGCGCATAAGCGCTGGAATGTCAGTCATTTGCATAGCCCAACAAGTAGTAGTTTTCATGCAAATTTACGTTTTGATTTTCTTCCGGGAGCATCAAATTTTATGGCCAGCAGTGTAAAAAATATTTTCTTTGTTATACTTTTTTGATCATCTTTCTTCATTGTATTAAATCACTTTATGATAAACATACAAGGTAAATAATTTTCCATCTGATTTTATGCACAAAAATATGAGCACTGCTTACAGCAGACTCACGGCATATCAACTGAGAGTTTTCTGATAGCGGAAGGACATTATTGCTATGAGACTTTCTTAAGGTTAATAGGTTTATATTCAGGTTACACATAGTGACAAAAAAATTACACAGCCAGCTTCCACTGGAATGGAAAGAAAGGCGAACAACAAAGATTGTCTTCCAAAACACATTTTCTGAGCAATTAAATAATCTTGAATGAAGTCTACAGAGCTATACAGGCTATTAAAATTAGATATTATATGTTAAAAGAAATTGTCTCCTTTTATTTAATTTAACAAAGGAAAAGAAATAGCTTCATGGAAAAATTTATAACTTTGTTCACATATTAATTGTATTTGACATTAAAAACACGTATTCTTCTTAGAAAACTTTCCACGGAAATATACTTCCTGATGATATTCATATTATTTTTGTAAAACTTCGCGAATGAAATTTACATGTTGTAAAAGTTCATCATGAAGAGTTTTCTTTATTTGTGTTCGTTATTAATGTAATTTTCGGGAAAACATACAGAAATATTTATAACAGCAGCTTCTGATGTAGGTTTTTGAGTGTAAAATATTATACATCAAGGAATTATTTCAGAGAATACATTTTTTGATCTAATTCGAAGTTTATTTTGATAGGTTTATTTTACGAATTGCTGTCGTAGTATATAAGTATAATGTTATATACGTTTCAAAACCTTTATAGAATATTTATAATTATTCAGTTTTATATAACCTTAAAAATAGCCATTTCTTGTCTTTTCATTTCATCGGAGAAAGAGATAAAATTCATGTAACTTCGATTTTATTTTGGAAATTTTGCATACTGCATGACCTCTTTCTTTTCTCCTTTTTAATTTTCTTTGTTCTTTTATTTAAATATCTAGTAAAGTAAGGAGCAATATTCTATTTTTAAACTTCTCTGTCGATAGCATATACACCATAGATATCATAGCTCAACTAGTTCTGTTACTTTATTTCTATGTCAAAATTATTTTTAAACATCTGTAATCGATTTCACCTGGTCCCTCCACAATCTTAAAATTTGTTCTGACCTTAAACGTTTTCGGCTCATGGTTTAGTGTTCAGTTTTGATGATGAAATATGCAATGCCTACAAAGTCAGCAACATGTATGAAATTTTTGATACTTCATTAGGCTTCACCTCTTTGCAAAACCTTAGATAATAACCTGTTTCCTGATACTGTACTCATATAATTTTGCTCATAATCACTTTGCTGATATAACTCAGGTGATTAACTGTTTCCCCAAAAATGCTTTCAGCAGTCTGGAAGATTGTTTTAATAAGAATACGTTAATAACTCATTTTTGAAACAGGAACTAGAAATCAACACCAGTTAGGAAATAACACTCAGGCTATCTTTCCTAAACGCTTTGTATCCTTAAACCTTTTTTTAAAGTAATCAAAGCCGTGTACAAAAGTTTCCTTTCTATTTAAGAAACATATCTTGATTAGTAAAGTTCATTAACTTTGTACTCTAAAAAATTAATTACACTGATTTTGTGATCATTTAAACATTTAGATTTAAGTAGCAGTTTCTGCAGAATGACAGAAATTATAAAAATAAACCTGTCAAAGTAAACTTTCGATTACTTGCAACGATGCGTATCCTGAACTAATTCGTTTACGTGTTCAGTTTGACTTTGTATTCGATACAAAATTAAATTGCCTTCTGTACAAACATCGAAGCTATTCACGTAATGCTTTCAGTTTATTTCTCAGTCACATCTAACATTTAAATTAAAGCAAGTTAAAACTGACTTCACTTTTATTAGAACTGCTTCTGAAGTGACAAAGCGTTTATTGGATTATTAATTAACAGTACACAAAAAACTTTATTTGCAGTAAAGTTAAGCAACATAAACAAGTAAACAACTAAGCATAAAACCCTTTTCAAAACTTCAGAATATAATGAAACTTACATTTGTATAAGGATTATAATAAAACCCCCGATAACTTTATAGAACCCGCATTTTTTGTATTCTTTTCGTGATTCTTTAATGCATGATTTAAAAAGCAGTATTAAAATCTGTAGCAGTAAAACACGGATAAAAGTAAAATTCAATCACACGAAATTAAATATAGTGAGGTTAAAAAACACTTAACTCATGGCATGGTTTACATCTCAATATCTCTGAGAATTTAAAATATTGGAAATAACCATAGTACTACAGAATGTATTGTAAAAATCTAAAAACAGTTTCTTTTGCTATTGTTTCCAGCTTGATTTGAATACTAAACTTTCTGTTCAAAATTAAGTAATAACAGAATTTTATTAAAGGATCAATTGATTTTCCTTTCTCTCTCAAAGTTCGAAATTGAAATTTTAAATGGATTCATTGGATAAATTTCAAATATCAGGTTCGAAAGGAATCAACATATATGTTTAGCTCAGCCTTAAACTTCCAGGTATGCAAGATAACAAAAGAAAGAAATTAAAAATCTTCTTTGTAAGGGAAGTTTAAATGGTTTAAATTAATGGTCTCATTCACAATTGTGAAGATACAGATGAACACTATTCGTAAAGTCCATTTCTTTGCAAGTAAACAATCGCTTTCAGCTTTAAATGAAATAAACGTCCATACTATGTGAAATACGTAAGTAAGGAACTGACAACATGTTCTCGAAAGCAACTGGTACAAATATGATCTTAAAATTCACCTGTACATTATCGCAAATATTCTATTGGAAAATTACTGCAAAAATACGGTCGAATTCAATGGTTCAGCGTATTTTATTGCAAAATATATGAGGTGGTGCACGAAATGTCAAATGCTTTGTTATATTTATTACGTATTTATTTATCATCGAAATATTGCAAAATGAACGCATAATTAAACTGTTTGAGCATGGAAAGTGAATTTAATGCAGAATGTGGTCGATGTGTTTCTTTCAGAACCTTTTGAAAGGAATCTTTGCATTTGTCACAACAATTTAATAGTGTCCGCGAAAAACATCGCTGAAGAAAACGTCGCGAAGGACACAACGCAAAGCAAAAACGTGCTCGGACAAAACATTTTGGGAAAACGAAAGTAAGGAGAAAACGTTGCAAGTTCTAAACATCGTGGTCGAAAATAAAGCGGTTTAAAATATTCGCAGTTTAAACACACCGCCATCGGAAATATCGTTGTAAAAAATAAAAAACCCGCAAATCATCGCTTGACGATAACTTCGCAGACATGTGTTTTCATGGTTTTATAAGTTGCAATTGCATATTCACATAATTATTTGTGAGAGCAACAAGGAATGAGGAACATTTTAAAATGCGACCGAAATATTATGCTGCTAAGTGATAACAGCTTTGAGTTCCGTTGTATTTGCAGGCTTCTATTCGAATACTTTATGCTTCAAAAATAAAATTCATAAAAAATTACTTGAATTAATATATGGGCTATGAGCGGGCCACTGTCTCCTAGCTCTATAACGTTCAGGAAACCAATGTGAAATTACACGCACATTAACTACCCCATGCAGGAAACCAGAATAATACATGCAATGTGTGGGTGGGGTCTCTCTTGCATGACTCATTGAGTGCATATAAAGGGAGATCTGTTGCCATTTTCAGGCGTGCGGACACTTGGTGGCTACCGTGAATTCTTCTTCAATACATAGCCAGTGGCTTAAAATTTACAAGACAACTTATGTGTGACCTAAAATTAGCAATTGTGTGTGATCTAAAATTAGCAAAGCAACAGCTTTGTGTCTGGTATAGATTTTAGTCATGACTCCATCGACATCGAGGGCAAAGCAGTGCAGATCTTTCTTCATCAGGAGCAAAGAAATCTGCTAAATTTAATCTGTGCATCTGTTTAATCTGTGAATGGTCTGTTTACAAGGAATCTATCTCCTGCCAAAGTGCGTCCGAAAATGCCTTTGTGTCGCCACTAGAATCTTCATTTTTTTCAAAAAAACATTACAACTTTCACCTTCTATACAATACTCACCCGGTTGTTATCAACCGTCTTACAATCTGCTCTTTGCGATAAATCAAAATTCCTGACTTCTCCTGACATCTACCGGATTTTTTATGAATAAACACATCCGAATCCATGCTTTTAATATCTAGTATACAATATTAAAAATTTCACAAGGTTATTGAATGGTATGACATATCGTGCTGACCCTGTATGACTGCTTCCTATTAATCACAGAATGTACCCTTTTTTTCTATATCTTTTCATTAAATGTTTTGAGAAGAATAATTCTAATGTTGTTCTTTTCTACGCACCTTGTAAAGTCAAATTTTTGCTCTGTTTTTAAATAAAATTGATTTCATGTTATTACAATGAATTTATTACCTGTTGCTTTGCATTTCCTTTGGTCCGTTCCAAGTCGATAACCTTCTACGCAAGAGCATTTGTAACCTGGTACTGTGTTCTGACAAAATTGACTGCACGTTCCTTCTACCTGACATTCATCAATATCTGTAAAGAAAAAAATGTTTTACTTGCAAGCTATATTTATTCAAAATGCAGTTAATCATTGCCTCCGTTTCTAAAACTAATTATTTTTAAAAAGAAGATAAATTATTAAACTGTTAGTTCTTCAGTTTTTTTACTCAAGTCGTAAGCATACCGTGGGGTAAAATTTACCCAAGCCAGAAAATTATTCAAGTCAACCCATAACATTTGCTAATTATTCTGACATTGTAAATTAAATATTTATACTCCAAATATGAGTAATTCTCGTTAATAAAGATGTTTCAAAAGAATTAACGTAAAACTCGATAAAGTTGACATAAATAAACAAATACACAGAAAATTATTATCTGTTTTCAATCAAGATACTGTAGAGTTATCATTTAAGTTCCTTAACCAGTTATTTTATGCTTATATTCATTCATATATGTTTTTTGTTTCCCTGCCGGAATGTAAATTTTAAGCACGCGCGATATTCAAATGAGGTAGAGAGTATTTAAGGGAAGGTTTTAGAGGGTTAAATTCAGAGCGTGTTCTGCCTGCTTGAAGCCACGTTGCTAAGTTTGAGTCTCTCGCGATTAATATTCGCGGCGTTGAGTTATTCTTGGCATGAGATTTGTTTACGCCATGGACCTTATAAGAAATAGACTAACTCAAACTGGTTTTCTCCCTCGTCTGAGGCATTGCCGGCTGTCACCTTGATCACATCCGGTAGAGTAGGCTCGACTTGCAGAAATTTAACATTGGTTGCCTATTGCAGCCTGTATAATTGTCAAGAAAAAGCTGGTTGTAGCGCCTTATTTCACAAATTAGAATTTCTACATATTTTTATTTTGAAATTGAGATTGATTTTTAAAATTGCATATTATCAAGCATAATTAACGTTCCAAATAATTATAAAGCTATTGCATGCTTTCATCACGGGTGGATATTTTTTTAGCTTTTCTATGCTGTAAGAATTTTGTAACTACTTCTTTTAAAAAATAATATTTTAAATCTGAACTAATAGAAATTTCAAACAAGCAATTTTCCTCTTGCAATTTTATGCTTTTATTGGTGTAATAAAACTTTTTTGTATTTTTAAATAGGTAAAAAATACTAAATATTTAAACGAATTTTTGAAAGTTTTGTTTAAAATTCTAAATTGTGCTGCTTTTTTAAAATTATAGATGAGTATTATAGCACAATTTCTATAAAGAATTTTATTTCAATTATATTTTATAATTACATCATAGTGATAACACTTTTGACTCCTTAAAAATTTTTATACATTTAATTCTAATATTAAAATTCTATTTAACCGTAATAATTAATTTTGCTTGTATTTTATAGTGATTATTTTTTTTAAATTTATTTTTAGTTCTGCATAAGATTTTTTTTTTTATTTACTGTTAATTTAATTTATTAGCTCAAAGGGGCGGTAGCCTAGAAAGGCTGTTAGTTTCGAAGCGATATTTTGCGTTGTTTTACTGTAAATGTCCGTGTCTCCTTGCAAATTGTTGTTACCAAATATTATCGACCTGTATTATATGTAAAGAACTTAAATAATAAATCTGCATGAATACATGTATGTTTTTCGCACTGTGACAAAAACTGCAGTACCGAATTTCGAATTTGTTTTAATCTATTTCATATTTTGGAAAACTTTAACGAATTTTTGATTAACAATCTCAACGAGTTCAGAGCGAGCACTGTACGGAAAATAACAGTTTTATCTCCAGTGCGGAATTCTAAAGATATGCTTTTTCAAATATGTGGTTACGGCGAAGAATATGATATTCAATAAATATAGGTAACACACAAAACGTTAAAAAAAAGGTTCCTTTTGGGCGTAATATAAAATCTGAGTGCTTCTAGATTTTATTTTATCTTTTTTTTCCTTGACTACGCTCAGAAAATTTTATGCTCCGAATCTTATGAATTATTAAAATAACTAATCCACTTTAATGTTAATAATCTAATGATCATATAATTAAATAAATATGATCGTTTTGTAATGTTATTATAGTTTGGAAAATCACTGCCTGAAAATGTTCATTAAATTAAAAAAAAATTATCAGATCTTGTTTAATTTTACCTTATTTATTTCAAAGCATCGCGTACTATCAATCTTATTTAATTTTACTTTATTCTTACGCAAAATTAAGTTCATAAGTTTTGTGCTTAGAGTTTTTACCGTTTTACTAAAGTAAAGATGTTTGTGCAAGATATACGAGTGAAAAAAATGCGCGAAATGCAGCAAAAAGTGCTTTAATGAGATATATTAAATCCCATTTGGAAAAAAATGTAGCTTTCATAATCTCATCACTACACAACGTATCACATTTAATAATTAAAAAGAGTTATATGATACAAACGCCATATGTTTCAGTGTTAAAGTAAACCTGATCGTCCCTACTCTTTCTTGCCGATATGCCAGTGACGCGCGCCCCGCCCACTGGGTTAGTCTATTTCTTATAAGGTCCATGGTTTACGCTGCCTTACGTCAGAACCAGATCGCGCGTTATTGGAATTGGGAAGCCGAGAGGCTGTATTTATTTTCATTAGTTTTAATTCATCTATTATCTTTAATGTAAGCCATAATTGTTGGCTTCTATAACTACGAGTTGGTGCTTACAGTTAAACTTTGAGAACACTAGACTCGGATTTCATCTGATACTTATAAAATACTTTTTTCTTGTAATCCAGCCCTGTACAATTTTTGCGATATTTTAAATAATTACCCGTTGCTTGTATTGATATTTCACGAAGGTAGGAATAAAGCAACTCAAAAAAACTATGGGAGAAATGCAATATGTGATAAAGTTGATATAAATATACAAATACATAGCAAATTATTAGCCATTTTTACTCAAAGCACTAAAATAAATTCATCTGATACTTATGCAACGCTTCTCTCTTGTAACCCAGCCCTGTGCGAATTTTGCGACATTTTAATTTGATGTAAATATTTCCCCCTTGCTTGTGTTAATATTTCGCCAAACTCCTGAGTTTGATTAATAGAGATAAATGAGTATTATTCCTGCTGAGGATTGGATATGAGTAGTTAGAATCTTCATAAGCATTTCTTTAAAAATGATTAGGATCCTCATGAAAATTCCTTTTTATACTCCAGGTTTATGATAAAAACACCTATAGCCTAATTTCTCTATGTTTTACGTTACATTTTGGTGCCACATCGCCATCAAGCAACTTAACCTGGTTTACGACATTTGAGCGCATTAGGATACCATGCAAACCACCAAACACGGTACAGCTTCTGAATTTGTCATTATCTTGAACCTGTTTTACCCCAAACTGATTATAATGTGTAAGGTATAATTACTATCATTAAATTAATATCTTGAAAGGGTAACAGCAAAAACCATAAAAATGGGAAACAAGTTGCTGTTCTAACTAAATGGAAGTTATCAAATAATTAATCATTAATAGACTGGAAAATTGATAGTTTTGTGGTCCGTTTTCATGCCATGCAGTGTAAAAATTTTAATTTACCTCTCGAATTATAGCAATATATTTCTTATCACAAAGCAAGCAATGTCTTCGAACTTTTCATAATATATATTATACTTTCAATCAGTATAAAAATGTAGAATAAAATTATAAGTTTTCATTTGAAAATTGCTTTTAATCTTTGCTTCTAGGCTGGAGATTATGTTATGTTTCATATTAGAACAAGAATGTCTTGGCAGCACGTCTGAGAATTCACTCTTGGGAAGTTTATGGTACCACGCACTTACGCCTCCCGTTTAATGAGATCTAAAGACTGTAATAATAATTTGCAATTGATGGGTCCAAGAAGGCTATGCAAAACGACGTAAGGGATCTCAATAGTTACTAATGTCCGAGGAGACAGACATTCACCTGCATCGCTATCACGGATCTTCAGTTACATCACCTACCATGGAACAGGGAATCTGTTGTGTTGCAAAGCATTAAATATCAATATGTACGGTCAGATATATCTGTAGCGCTATGTATTGACAAAAAAGCGACCATTGCTTCGCCTTTTCTGGTCACTACAGTATAGTAGCTAGAGGAATTTGTGCTTGAAACAGCATTTTCAATAGTAACGAGTGGACGAAACAGTGGTAGTACGTTGTCTTTTCTGATTAATTCCACTTTTGCTGACAACATCATGATGGCAATGTTTGTGTATGGAGGCACCAAGAGGAGTGAAAGTTGGAAGCTTGCATTCTTTATTAACGCCTGGATTAATTATATGGGATTCATCTGTTTGCGTCTAGACCGCATATCCAGTAATTTTACTAGCCACCCTTTCCTTCTTCTACGTTTCTATTTTCTTAATTGCACTATATCCTCGAAGACTCGGTCGCGGCACTTTCTTCAGGAAAAAGCGAGATTTTACGTTGCCAACGAAATTGTCTTATGTTTCATCAATACATAGTGCATTCGACTCTTGTTTTAGTCAGCACATCTGTCTCAGACCAAAGCAATTAAAGAAAATTTTCTAATAGACTTTTACCCGTTTTTATTAACTTACTTTATGCCAGTATGTAAGGATGTATAGCTTAATCACCTTTTCTGTTTCATCCTGTCGTCAACATTACGCCAGTTCTTCTGCTATTATCCATCCAACGTTTCCTTCATTAGTAACCTATACTGTAAGTAAATAGGAATATTTCCTATTTCAATACATCCTAAAACTTTCATTTGTTGAGATAATGGTCATTACGCGATAATCCCGTGATGGCTTGTAGCCTATTTTATGTCAAAGCAAAGTCATCATAATAAAGCTTTCAGAGGATTCGCCAGTCTTTAAAGTCAGCGCAGTGGACAATTACTGAATGCATTGTCTTAGCAACTTTACTTGAAAAACATTAACTTACTCAGTCATTTAATCAGGAATTTGTAGTTCTGGTATAGTACCAGTGGAAGCTTAAAACAAAACAAAACAAAAATAAAGTGAACGGTCTACTGGAGACCAACTCGGTATTGCGAACTCTTCTGAAAATGAACAATACTCTTGAGAGTATATATAAATA